AAAAGTTTATTATATAATATATCAGTTAAAGATCGCTAATACTATAATACCGTTATTAGATAAAAAATAAAAAATAACAGTATGATGCTTACGCATCATACTGTTATTTTTTATTTTTTATCCAATAACTATAAATTATTTAATTTAAGTGTTTTTTAAATTATATTTATATTAAAACAATAAATAAATAATATATTTTTTTAAAATATATATAATTTTGAAATCTATTTTTAATTACAAATAATAATTTTGGATTTGGATTTTATAAATAAATAAATATGTATTTAAAAAAACAATTATTTTTAAAGAACTGTTGTTTATCAACATAAAAAAAAAAAAATTATTATTTATCTTTAAATTATATTTAAAAATATTAATTTAAGATAAATGTTCAAATATATAAAATAATTTATACAATATAAATATATTTTATATTATTTTTTTGTAAATATTTAATAAATAGTGTATACTTTAACTATAAAAAATATATATACTTTATACAGTATATTGTATATAACCTTTAATATATTATTTTGAATTTAATACAATTTAATAAAAATTTAAATTAATATTTACACTTATTCACTTGTTTTATATAAATGAATTTGATCAATTTCCATTAGCGTAATTCATAATAAGGTATGTACATGTATGACGTTATGACGTATTCTTTTTACAAACGTGAGAAGTTATGCGTAACAATAGAATTATTAAATCGGGCATAACTTTTACATTATATTTACAAAAATGACGGAAACCAAGCCACCAGGTTCAAATTCTCGGGAAGATGTTCTCCAATTTCTCGAAACACTTGATACATACTCTCAAACCACACCTGCTACAAGCCCTGCAGCCGTAGCATCTGTAGGTACGCCAGCCGACACGCAATCCGTCTTAGATTTCCTTGATCAAATTACCCAATCAACTCCAACAGCACCTACCACCGAACTTGATGCTAAATCGGACAACCAAACCAATGTTTCGTTAAAACAAGAACGTTCTGCAGAACAACCAGAACACCAGCAGCAAGCTGAGACACAGAAACAAGGTGGTACATGGTCATGGGGTGGTATATTGGCAACAGCGTCCACAGCATATAAGACCGCAAGCACTGTAGTCGATACTTCCGTTAAAGGTGCTTTAGCGACTGTTGAGACGGTGCGAACTAACGAGACCACCAAAAAATTTGAAGAGAAAGTTCGCGGTATTGTAAATAAAGAAGCTATCGAAAAAATAGGTATGTAGAAACTTGGAGTTTTGTCGCGTAGAATAATTATCTTTCTAATTATTATTATTTTCGCGTGTTTAAACAAAGGTTCTGATCTCAAGACACTTAGCCTAAATACTCTTACGACGGTCGTAAACGCAGTAGTACCTCCAATTTCCCAATATGAAGTTGTCGAAGTTTGGTTAGCTCATGATATGGTAGGCTATGTTGGTGTAGAATCGCTTGTATATAGAGCTTTTATAAAAGTTATGGAACAAGTCGAAGGTGGTGATATTGTGGTTAAAAAAGGAAATGAATCAAAAAAGCGTGATTCAGAAGATGAGCCCAAAGATTTGAATGTATGTGAAGGTTTCATTGAGGCTGTTGGTCTGGCTAAGGTAGGATCACTTAAGATGATTTGTAATTATTACAAGTATTTTATTTGATGCTTTACACTCACCCATTGTCCAGGCCAATATAGAACAAATTATCAAGAAAAATTATAACCCTTCGGAATTGGATCGAAAACCCGTTCAGATGGAACTACAATCACAAGAAATATTAATGGATGTTCCAACTACAATCTGCCCTGTTTTTATGGCCATCCAACCAACAAAAGCTAATCCTTACGTTATCCCTTCTGATCAAAATGAAACCACCTCAGATCCCGAACAGTATTTATTCTATGTCATTGTTTTAAAGGATCCGACTCATAATTTAACCTTTAAGACTTTTTCACAAGCTCTTCCAGTGAGTTGGTTAGATATTCCAATTGAGGAAAATGAGTGGGTAGAAGATAAGATGGTTTCTGCTATAAGATTAGCAGTTCAAACCATTGCACAGGACTATGTTTGGCATAGGATGACATCAGGTGAAGAAGAACAACAATTGAATGAAGAGAAAAAATTGTAGTATTTCGATTTACATTAAGCAATTTCGTTTATTAAATATTTGAATTTTATCGATTATTCTACTTTATTTATTAACAATTACATTCTTTAATATATCGACTTTATTTATTATAGTAATTTTTACTATTTATATTTCATAATAGAATTAGTTATTGTATGTACAAGTATGTTATTACGAATGCTAACGTAATGAACTTTATTTTTGTATTATCAGAATGATAGTATTTTGAACTGATTTGAATAATTAAAAAATTAGTGAAACCTGAAGTATTTTTCATTGTCTAGTGTTAAATATTAATTGTAAAACCATATTTAATGATATTCACTGAACATGATTTCTTAATTTTAAGTTATAATTCATATTTATACACAGGGTACATAAATGTATACAGTATGTGTTAGCATTTCTTAATATAACATTGTAAATAATTATAATACACTTTCTTCAAGTTAAAAAAAAAAAGAATTTTTAATTCTAATTGTTTTTAGATTGATTATTTTTTACTTTTTGTATAATTATTTGTTCTTTTTTGAATAGAAAAATAATATATGAAAAAAGAAATAAATATTTCTTAGCTATATTACGTATATTAAATTTAATGTAAACTTGATTTTATTAATCTTTAATTAGATTGTACTGTAAATTTTGCATTTATTAATCTAATTATAGATCACAATAATACAATATACAGTATGATATTATACTAAGCTAAACCTATTCTATTTTGCAGAATACTTATTAACAATTTATTTGTAAACTTGTATATAATATCAAAATCATTATATTACCCATAAAAATTTAACTATTTACTAATTGTCTTATTATAAAAAAATGGATTCATTAAGCTATTATTGTATAGTAGGGCTTTTAATAATACTACTTCAATATTACTTTAATATTAGCTTGATATTTAAATTTACTATAAATTTATATAAATAGGTTACAACTAAGGATAGGTTCCTAAATTATTTATTCATTACTTTAATAGGGACATAATTCAAAAAACACTTGAATCAAGTGACCTAAATTAAAAAAAACTTTTATAAGTAGTTTTTTTTTGATCTATTTTAATATTATCTTAATATTAGCAATTTGATATTTTTAAAGTTCTATTGTATAATATTAACTATTTTAGACTTTTCAAATCTTAACTTTTTAGATGTAATTATAAAAAATCAAGATTGATAAAAAAACAAGTGAAAAAAAATATTCTTATAATAAATAATATTTTTTTTCAATATTAGATATTATAGCCTTAATCTTAAAAAATTAAAATCAATTTATATTTAAACTGTTACTTCAATATAAATTTATAGTCTTAAAAAATAAAAAATCTTATTTTTTGAAAAATTAAGAAAAAAAAAATAATTAAGTTTATTTTAATAAATAAAAATTTTCAATATTAATCTTAATTTATTGAAATAATTTTTTTATTATTATTTGCAATTAAACAAATTATTTAATTTTCACTATTTTATTGCTAATTAAAAATACTTAAAATACTTATAATAAAATTTATATTATTGAAAATTATTGTTTAAAATAAGTCTTATATTCAAATAAAATTATTACTTAATAATTTCTTAAAATAATAATTAATAAAAAAAGTTTCTTATTAAATATAAATAAATTTTTTTTTGATTTTTAAAAAAAAAGAAATTAGTATAATAGAAGAAAAAAATATTATAATATTTCTTAACAAAACAAATATTTTATTACTTTATTCTTTTTATTATATCCAATAGTATTTTTTTTTTTTGTCTCTAATCAGACTGCAAATAAAAATGTTTATTAATCCAATTTTTGGACAACAGTAATACAATATACATGATATTATACTAAAGCTAAACTAGCACAATTTTGCAGAACACCTGTTAATGAATTTAGATTTGTATGTGATTCTTGAATCCTTAATATCAAAACCATTGTGTTGCTCACATAATTTAGCTATTTACTAACTATCTCACTACAAGGAAGTAGATTTATTAAGCTATTACTGCGTGATACTAACTATACATATGGCGTAAATTATTTTGCTATTGACTCAATTCTTAAAATCCTCAAAAATAATTGTGTCATGACTCAATTATTTATATGTTTT